CATTATCCCTCTCAAACTTGAGCAACATAAGAGATGGGATTATAACAGCCTTGGAATTATTCAGGGTTGGTCGTCCCAGAATCATGTTGTAGGCCGAGAGTTCTTCTACTACCAGGAACCGGACTACCATGTGTCGTCCTTCCCCTTTTTCGCCCAGGCGGATGGGTAAATCCACTCGTCCCACTGGGTGGACTCCTCCTCCTCCAAACCCTACTAAAGGGTGGGATGCCGGATGTATGCAATCAGTCTGATATTTTAGTTTCGACAGACATTTGCTACTGATGAGATCTGAGGAGCTTCCGGTATCTATGAGGATTCGGCCAACTCTCTGGTTGGCCACTTTACATTCAATAACGATAGGGTCGTCATGCGGCCCTCTTACCCCTCCTAGATCTTCTTCAGTAATGACAATCTCAGGAAATGAATATTTGGAGGGCCGTTCTTGGTGAACGGAATTTACATCTAACCGCCTGATATTGTCTTTGTTGCCCCTAATAGTGGGGCCGCCTCCTGAGAAGCCGCCTGCAATGGTGTAGACGACTGCATCCTCTGTATCGGAGCTGTCGGCCTGTTGATTCTTTTTGGCCGACTGCTTTTTTGAGGAAGTGTTCCCCGTAGATTTCTTGACATAAGTGTCAAGATCACCTTGCTCAGCCAGGCGGTCCAGATACCGCATGAGACTGATGCAGTCATTGGTGTGATGACCAACATCTTCATGATAAGCACAAAATTTTTCATGGTTCCGGTTGTTTGCAGAACCCTTCATGGGGACTGGTTTCTCAATTGAGATCCGTCCCTTGATTTCCTTTAGGATAAACTGGCTATCCTTGTTAAACGCATACTTTGGGGAGTATGGTTTGAATTCTTTTTTCTTTTTCTGGGCCGGCTGTTTAGAGGAATCAGCCGCCCAGACCTCTTTTCTCTTCTCATCTTTGTTTGACGACTGTTTCTGTCGTCCTTCTCTTTTGTCGGACCTTTTCCCGTCCGACTGTTTTACCGTACAAAGATCAGTCGCCTGTATATAGGCTTCCGCTTCAATCAAGGCCTCTTGAAGAGTCGCCACCCTCTTTCGGACCAAATCAAATTTGAAGGTCGACCCGTCCTTGAGACCTCTGAAAAAGTCAGTATAGGCTACTTCATCCGGTAACCCTTGAATCTGTATTCTCATCAGGTTAAACCGCCTGATGTAAGAACGAAGCCCCTCCTTCTCGCCCTGCTGAATTGTTCCTAAATCAAGGGTCGTCTTCTTCGCAGGGATGTTCATGGCGAAGTTGGAGGTGAATAAGTAAGCAAGCGTCCTGAAGCTATTTACACAACCAGTCGGCAGGTTGCCGAACCATTGTTGTGCGATTCCTTTGAGAGTCGCTGGGAAACACTTGCACCAAGTGGGATCATCCAACCCTTGAAGGTACATCAGGTTGGTGAAGGCCATAAGATGGTCTTCTCGGTTAGTAGTGCCGTCATAGGCGCCTACTAATACATTTTTCACTTTGGTCGGCTGAGCGGCTTCAATAATTTCCTTGGAGAAGGCCGACGGCTGTTCACCAAGTCTAAGCAACCGTAGCTGCCAGTCCATAGGTTGGACGTTTTTTGCTGCATGTCCACCAAACGGAGGTGGCTGTAAAAAATACTGTTGTTGCGGCACAAACGGTAAGTTTGGTACCGCCTGGTCGCTATGAAAGCCTGACGGGAGGTGCCGCCTGACTGACTCTCATGATACGACTGCGTATGCCTCATTGAGGTATTTCGCAGACTGTCTTGGAAGTTTGAAGTAGAGGCCGACTCTGACAATCGGTCACTCTTCTTCTCCTCTAGCAGTAGCCGAGCGTCTGTGTATGATTTCCTCGACCCGTCCGCCTGAATATGACGAACAGGTTTCCTATTTCCTGGAGTAGGAAAACGGTATTTTGTGAAATCAAGGGCAGTCGGCTCCCGCTTCCTAGATTTAGGATGAGGAGTCGCCTCTCGCCCTTGAACTGGCTTCCTCTTCAGTGAAGTGGAAGGTTTCTTAGCCGACCAGAGCAGGCGGCTTCTTGTTGATCAACTCTTGAATTTCTCCCTTGAAGTCCCTCATGAAGGTCATGAGTTCGTTCCTTGTGATGGGAGCAGACCCATCAGTCGGCTGCTGCCGAACAGGCGGTGCGCCTGCTGGCTCGCTTCCAGTTTGAAGATGTTCCCGTTCCCTCCTTTCGGTATGACGGGTACGTCGGGCCCTTAGGGTCCCGTCTGAAGCTGTGTGAGCTTCAACTTCAAATTCACTCTCAGTATCGTGGTCCGACTGAACTTGAGGGTCGTCTAGGGGACGCCTCTCTTCAGGAGTTGGCACAGACTTGGATGCCATCTCAGAAGTACTCTCCCCACAGACGGCGCCAAATGTTTCGGGGTTTTCTGATGTCCTGCGGGAGAGTTACAATTCCGAGACTGGAACCGGACGCCTGTACCTGCAAAACAACGGAGACTCCTGGTGGTGGGAGCTCCGCCTCCAACGGTCAAGTTAGTACTTGTTTAAGGAGTAATTAATGCGGAAATTAAAGTGATTGGGTCTCTCTAGGTGAGAGTGTTTAATGTAGGTAATCTGCTTTGTTAGCGTGATCAGCCTGTTATCTCCGTAATCCCCCCTTAATGAGGATTAAGGGAGGTATTTATAACCTTGGGAAACGTGTCAATCCTAGGTTTAGGTTAACCTAGGGCTGATTGGGCTTCCCTCGGAAGTTGGGCCTGGGTGGCCGGTTTCTCCATTAGGCATGGAGTATGCCACGTGTCATGACATAATAGGTCCAAGGTGGACGAATAAGCGCGTGCCACGTGGCAAGCCCTGACAGTTCCAACTGGGGGACACTTGGCAGGACCTGATTGGCCCACGTGGCACATTCCGATTGGGAGGAGCAAAATCCCCTAATCAAAACCCACAACAAAAACCCACCTAGCCACTCGTCATAATATGATCACTCACCTTACCGCTACTATTTTTGTACATAACATTACTAAATCAAAGGATTCGAAGGCCCCTGTTATCTTTGTATCTTGATAGTTGTAGGATGCTAAAATGTTTGAGATTTTGTAATATGATTTAAGAGAACGTCTGTTTAGTGGGGAAGAGCTGAAGTAGTGGTGCTTTCACCTCTGATGCATTAATAGGGTTTAAGGTTCTTTATAGTCATTCTAGCACTTGGAAGTTACTTTCACATTTTATATTAATCACCATTGGTCATATTCAAGGAGGGTCATAAGTAATCTTTTTTAGAAATCGAATGTAATTGGGTTGCTTTTGTGAAGTATGGCCATTACCAGTAAACCTTGCCAACTTGGGTTGATTTTTCTCTGAATCTAACTTTTCTTCTTCTGAATGTAGAAAAGGGCAGAGGAGCGACATTTTAGTATCCTTTTTTACTGTCTTTGTAGATTGTGAATTGCATGTCATACTCCTATTACAATCTTTTGAATGATGTATGGTGTATCTTAGAACTTTCATTTTCAGAGGTAATCAAGGGACCCCCTTGATTGTTTGTTGGGGGTAGCTTACTAAGTTGATGAGAATCTTTGTTATGGCTGTTATAATTTCATTATAGGAGAGTGTATTCCTTTTACTACCAGCTTGTGAAAAAGCCAAATTCACAATCCTTTCCTTTTTTTTAACTTTATTTCGAATGTTAAGGTATTCATGTGTGTGAAAGCTTTTCTCTAGGTTGCTAGATTTCTACTCATATGAGGAGGCATGGAATCATTTGTTTTTGCATTGTCGTGTGATGATGTATCTTTATGATAGGTTATCTGCTTGTGAATCATAGAATCATTCCTATTTATGTAGTTTGGTAGGCCCATTATGTTGGTGCTTTGGTTGGGGAGAAATAATTGGTTTTACCATGGTTGGGAGTTTTCTTTAGTTGCTTTGTGTGAGCAAGTTCCAAATGATGTATTAGCTTTACTTTAGCCTCATGTAGACTTGGCAATCTTGACCCAGACCCGATGACCCGACCCGAATGGCCCGACCCATGACTCGAAATTGACCCGAAAACAGTGACCCAAAATTGACCCGAAAACAGTGACCCAAAATTGACCTGAAACTCGAAATCAACCCGATCTGATTCATACCCGACCCGAAGTGGAATTGCCCTGACCTTGACTAGAAACCCGGAGTGACTCGACCCGAAATTGACCCGATTCCCAAATTGACCCGACCTGAATTTATCTTGAATTAATTGACCCAAACAGACTTTAAACCCGAAGTGACCCGATCTAAAATTACCTTGTACTCGAAATGACCAATTACATTTTAAGCCAAATACTTGACCCTAGCAAACCCAAATAGAAAATACTCGCAACCAAACTGACTCGATTTTTAATTTTTTAATTTATTTGTAATGTACTAAAGTGTAACAGTGTAAGTAATTTACATATTTTGAGTATTACTTTTCTCAATGTTACTCATATTAACACTAACAATTATATTTTCAATAAAAACAATAATAATTATTTCGTATAAAAAAAAAATCTACTAATAAAGCTTGACTCAAAGTATCAACCAAAACTGTCCTGACCCGAGTTTGACCCTACCCGATCTTGACCCGATATATGGACCCGAATTGACCCGACCCAAAGGCGACCCGAAGTATTGACCCGAACTCGACCTGAAACCCGAAACGTCCTGACCCGAGCCAAACCCGGCCCGAATATCTGTTGACCCGACCCATATCCGACCCGAACGACCCATTTTCCACGTCTAGCCTCATGTTCTTAGGGAATTTCTAGCCCTCTACATGGTCATAGTTTTTAGGTCGTATATTACAGTATGCTTTCTTATCTCAATAAAAAAAAATATATAATAATAAAGAAAGAAAAAAATGGTGTTGTTTATTGATTTTTAACTTTTCATGTACAGCCCTTAGGTTGTCTCCAAATGATAATATAATTATTATTATCTCTCTCTGTCTAGCAGAAGCCCATTTCTTGATGTATTGATTATTGTGTTAAGCCCGGGGCTGATGCTGTTGTGTTTGCAGGGTGGTATAGATGAAGGTGAAGATCCCCGAAATGCAGCTATCAGGGAGCTTAGGGAAGAGACTGGAGTAACTTCAGTGGAAGTCCTTGGAGAGGTTAGAATTCTAATTTGTTTTACTTAAGCTAAGTGTAGATGATGCTTTTTAAATATTTTGTAAAGTTGTGTAGTTTGTCATGTCATGTGTTTATTACTCTTTCCATAGAAGTAGGGGCTTGATAAGGGAATTTGGGAAAGAATTTAGGCTCTGCTTGTTTTAACGGGAAACAAATTTTGGGAAATGATTCTCCATGGAAAAAAATTTCCAAGGGAGAACACAATTGTAAAAATAGTTTTCCATTGTTTGTGTCCCTACAAGAAAAATTATACAGGAAGGGGAAAATAGGAGTGGAAGGGAGAAGAGAGAGGAGAGGTAAGGGATGTAGAGAGTAGGGAGGTGGCATACCTTTCTTTAGAAGGAAAACATTTTCTACTTATGGGAGAATTATTTTCCACCTTTGGGTAAGTTGTTTTCCATATCTTTACTTACCAAACAATGGAAAATGAGAAAATCGTTTTCTAGGAAAATATTTTCCATCAAAATAAACGGAGTCTTAGTGACTCAAACAATCCCTATACAGTAAATATGCCATAAAAGGGCTTGATGGTTCTCTGAATTTTGTGATGGCTCCTAGGTTTTGTGTGCACTAAATGTGTATCAATAACATATGAAGTGATAGATAGGAGAGACCGAGAGTGCTATACCATCATCTACTAATGTAAACTTAATGAGAAGTATATATAAGATACATGATATCTAATTTGGTGTAAGTATAGGGTAAGTGTATGCTCTTAATACAACATTTCTATTCAATGCTAATGATGCTTATGTCTCCCATCTATCTTTATATTCATAGGCCTATTGTGTTTATGTGCCTCTATCTAAGCTCAGACTTTTTGATTATATATTTCTGGCTTATTTATGTAGCTTTTGTTTGCATTTGTGAAGGCTTATTTTTTGCACTGAAAGCTTTTTGGCCATGAATTCGTCTTTTTATCTAAATTCCTAGGCGTGACAGGCTATCATTAATTCATATCTTAAGTGCTTTTATGGCCAAACAACTTGAATATAAGTTTTTGTTTCACTTTCATGGATTTACAGCCTTGATCTGTTCTCGAGTATATTAATTTTACAGATTTTGGTTGCAAACCCTGGTTTTGCAATGTTTTTTTCGCAAATTGGCATACCCTTGTATGCTGAATTGGAATCTTTTAAGCATAACTGGCCAAGTCTAATACAAAGTATTTCATATATACACTTTAACTTTGTTTTATTAAAACAGGTTCCCTATTGGCTGACTTATGATTTCCCTCCAGATGTAAGGGAGAAACTCAGGCATCGATGGGGATCAGACTGGAAGGGTCAAGCCCAAAAGTGGTGAGTGCTGACCTTAATGTGCCATTTTGGTGTTTTGTTTTGTCATTTTGGTGCTTGTTGTTGTTGAATTTACCTTTTGGGTTTGGCAGGGACTGACTTTCTCGACCAAGCCAAACTACTTCTCCGGTGGACTCTTAATTTAATTATTTAAATAAAAATGTAATAGCATAGAGTATAATTAATTGAGAACGTAATTGAGATTAATTTGCTATGATTCACGCTGAGCAGAGGCTTGATTGATTGTACTGAATAATTCTGAAAACAGATTACAAAACATGACTTGAGGCCATGAATCTCTAAGTAGCTTTAGGCTACCACTCTCATGTGTTTCCTCACAATTTTCTGGATGTCCTTTCCCCTCTCACAACTTTCAATTAAGTACAACCTTTTACAACTAAATTTAGATAAAACAAAAGTAATGAAAATAAGAGCCTAAAGTCTTCTTGCTTAATTAGTGAAATAGCTGCTCCCCTTTGTTGCCTTGCTCAAAATGGACCCTTCCACAAAGTAGCCTTGTTCCTTGCACATTGTTGCTTAGTGCCTTGAGTTGCTGCTGCCCTGTATGCTGCTACTGCTTTGCTGCTGCCCCGGAAGCTGCTGCCGACCTATGAGTTGTTGCTTTTGTGGCCTCGGACGGCGAGTGTACACCTGATTTGTTGACCTGAGCTTGGGTCCATAACAATACCCGCCTCCTCGAGATTCACCTTGTCCTCAAGGTGGAATGATGGAAATCGAGCAAGGATCATCTTGCAATCCTCCCACGTGGCTTCAAATTCCGCAGCCCCTGCCACTTAATCAACACCTCCATCCGTACACTTCTGCCCCTAACCACCTTTCTGGAATCCAAAACGGCCTCGGGTTCCACCACCATTTCCATATCAGGGGTTAGTTGGATTGGGATAGTTGGATTCACGGGTATGGACCCCACTGCCTTCTTGAGTTGAGATATGTGGAACACGGGATGAATTCGGGAAGTGGGTGGGAGGTCTAAACGAGGCCACCTTACCCACCTTCTCTACCACCGTGAACGGCCCATAATAACGAGCCGTAAGCTTCTCATTTGGATGAATTGCTAGTGACCTCTGTCGGTACGGCTGTAATTTCAAGAACACTGATTCCCCAATATCAAATTGCCCTTCTCGTCGCTTACTATCGGCATACCCTTTCATAACTTGCTGAGCCCGGAACAAATTCACCTTCAATTCATCTAGCATTAAGTCCCTTTCTTGCAAATGGACCTCCACCAAACTGACCGGAGTTTGACCAGCTCCAACCCTCCATAATCGCGGAGGCGTGCGCCCATACACTACCTGAAACGGTGTTACTTTGGTGGAAGAGTGTGGCGAGGTGTTGTAAGCATATTCCGCCCAATGTAACCATGATGCCCAATTCCGCGGTTGCCCCGTGATAAAGCACCTGAGATATACCTCCAACCCTTTGTTAACCACCTCTGTCTGCCCGTCCGTTTGAGGGTGATAGGACGTGCTTCGCTTGAGTTGTGTTCCTTGTAATCGGAACAACTCTCTCCAAAACCCACTCAGAAAAACTCTATCCCTGTCCGAAACAATGGACTTCTGAATCCCATGTAGACGGACCACCTCCTTCGTGAAGGCTTCGGCCACCTTGACTGCCGTAAATGGGTGGCGTAGCCCAATAAAATGGGCGTATTTCAAAAGCCGGTCTACGACTACCAATACGGAGTCCACCCCCTTAGACAAAGGAAGACCCTCAACGAAATCCATTGACAACTCTTCCCACACTAGTTCCGGCACTGGTAGCGATTGTAGCAACCCCAATGGCGTTTGTTGGGAACTCTTGTTCCTTTGGCAAACCTCACATCGGTGCACATAATCGCCCACGTGGCGGCGCATCCCCACCCAGAACCATTCGGCGGCAACTCTGAGGTAAGTTTTAACCTCTCCCTCGTGGCCTCCGGTCGGAGAATCATGGTATTCATGGAGCAATCTAGGAATAAAAACAGAGGTGGGAGGAAGTACTATCCTTCCTTTATATATTCTCGTCCCCTTTTTCTAGGCCCAAGCGAATTTGGGCCAGCCATTTTCAAGCCTTCATCTCCTCTTTCAGAGTCTCCCATTCCACTACTCGAGAACAAGTCAGAGTACTTAATTGTGTTAAATAATGGTCTCGACGTGATAAGGCATCGGCGACACGGTTGGAAGCCCCAGGCCGATATGGCACTTCAAAATCGAACCCCACTAATTTTCGCATCCATTTTTGATGTTCGCTGCCCACCTCTCGTTGTTGGGTAATGTAACGGAGGCTTTGTTGGTCGGTTCTAACAATGAAATGTCGACCAAGGAGATAGTGCCTCCACTTGACAATAGCAAGAACTATGGCCATGAGTTCTTTTTCATAAATCGACTTCTCCATAGCCCTCATGCCAAGTAGTTTGCTATAGTAGGCTATGGGCCGGCCCCCTTGCATCATCACGGCCCCAACTCCAAAACCGGAAGCATCCGTTTCGATCACGAACTCCTTGGTGAAATCGGGCATAGCTAGAACGGGAGCCGAGATCATGGCTCTTTTTAGAGCTTCAAAGGCTTGGGTAGCCTCTTCCGTCCAACTAAAGCTATCTTTCTTGAGTTGGGCCGTTAATGGCCCGACAATTTGAGCATAATGGAGAACAAACTTTCGATAATATCCGGTAAGCCCAAGGAACCCGCGTAGCTCCCTTAAATATCGGGGTATCATCCACCGTAGAATGGCCTCCACCTTCTCCCCATCCATAGCTACTCCACTAGTCGAAATCACATGGCCCAAGTAGGCCACTTCCACTCTTTCAAACTCACATTTTTTTAGATTGGCATACAACTCATTTCTAGCAAGCACCTCCAACACCTTTCTCACATGCTCTCTATGTTCTAGCTCGTTCTTACTATACACCAAGATATCATCAAAAAACACAAGGACAAATTTCCTCAAGAATGGCCGGAATAGATCGCTCATGAGGGATTGGAAGGTGGCCGGGGCATTGGTTAACCCAAATGGCATCACTAAAAACTCATAGTGCCCTTCATGAGTCCGAAAGGCGGTTTTGTAAGTATCTTCGGGTTTGACCCGAATTTGGTGATAGCCCGATTTCAAGTCAAGCTTTGAAAATATTGTAGCCCCATGCAACTCATCTAGCAACTCATCGATCACCGGTATGGGATATTTATCGGGAACCGTCTCCTTATTCAAGGCCCGATAATCGACACAAAACCTCCAAGATCCATCCTTATTTTTAACAAGCAAAACCGGGCTACTAAACGGGCTTGTGGAGGGTCTAATGATTCCGGCCTCCAACATTTCCGCTATTAGTTTCTCAATCTCATCCTTTTGAACTTGAGGATAGCGGTATGACCTCACACTCACCGGGTTGCTTCCCTCCTTAAGTACAATTGCATGCTCATGCCCTCGGGATGGTGGCATTCCGTGAGGCATCTCAAACACTGCTTGGAACTCCTCTACTAACTCCCTCAAGAATGCCGGAACTTCCCTCTCTTTCGGCTCCTCTTCCAACTCCATCCGATTAACCTCCACCAACACTCCCCCTTTATTTTTGCAAAGGGTCCGAATCATTGCCCTCAAGGACACTTGTGTTTTCTCCAAAGTGGGATCCCCTCTCAAGGTAACCAGTGAACCGGCCATGGTGAAGTGCATCACATGAGTTTTCCAATTGGTGGTGACCGAGCCAAGCTTCTCAAGCCATTATACTCCCAATATCACATCGGCATTTCCCAACATTAATGGCAAGAAGTCCTCCTTAATGGTCACTCCTCCCTCAACTCTCACTTCTACCCTCCTACACACACCACTTCCATGCACGGTTTCCCCATTTCCAAGAGACACCGCAAACTCCCCCTTACCCTCTATGTCTAATCCTCCTTCTTCTACTAGCTTCAAAGAGATAAAGTTGTGAGTGGCTCCGGGATCTATCATGACTATCACTTCCTTTCCACGCACCATCCCTTTCAACTTCATTGTCTTTGGGTTAGTTAATCCAACCACTGAGCATAGTGACACCTCAACCGCCTCTTCTTCCTTCCCTATCCCCTCCGGTTCTTCCTCTATCTCCTCCAAGTCATCCGCCACCATCAAAACACTCAACTCCTTTTTACAACGATGGCCGACCCCCCAACGCTCATCACACCGAAAACATAATCCCTTGTCTCTTTTGTCTTATAATTCGGCTTCCGTTAGTCTTCGGGTTTCGGAAAAAGGTCGAGAAGTTTGAGTAACGGTAGTTTTGCTTCCACTCACGGATGCAAGAGACTCACTGGCCTTGTTCCAATTTCGGTTTGGGCCTGAAGTTGGAGGCAGCCCATAAGTGGAAATGAGGCCCCCACTGGTTCTACTTCCCCCTCCACCTAAGTATGTCACCATGGTATTTTGACCTCCTTTCCAGGAACCAGCTTCTCTTCTGCCTCCCCCTCTATTTTTCTCTTCGATTCTTGCTGCTAGCTGCATTACTCTCCCTAAGTTCTCAGGTTCCCACATTCTCAGTTCCCTCTTGATTTCATCCTTCAGCCCATTGATGAAGGAATTTTTCATTACCTTCGCCGGAATGTCCTTCAACGGAAAGGCTAATTCAATGAATTTCCGGCGGTACTCCTCTCCAACGCCAGCCACTGTTCCTAAAGCTCCCCTCCTTGTGCTTGCCGGAATTCCTCTAAAAGCCGATCCTGGAAGATCTTCCCAAGAAAGGAAGGGCCGCCGGTCTGCTTCCAGGTAGAACCACTGAAGCGCGGCGCCGTCTAGAGCCACTTCAACGGTTGCCAGCCTCTCAATTTCAGTTAAGCCATAAAAATCGAAGTACCTCCGAATTCGCATTACCCAATTATTTGGTTCTCTCCCCTCAAAGATGGGCATCTCCATACGCCGTGGTCGCCACCCACCGTCGTCTCCAGGTCCGTCGCCCCATCCCGTCCTCTCCTGCTCCCTCCTGCCCGGAGTTTTATCGGAGTTCCCTTCACCCGTTCGACTGTTCTCACCCTCATCCCTGTTGTGAGGGTTGTGGCGCCCCTGCCCTTCATTCATGGTATTTCGGAAGGTGGTGCGTATTGGGGGGGGGGGGGGTTGCGTTATCCGGGCTTCAAGTGCAGCCAGCTGTTTGGACAGGGCTCTCTGGTTCGCCGCCATCTGTTCTGTCAGGTGTCGTTGGTTCTCCGCCTGGGTCGCTAGCAACCTTTTTATGGTGGATAGTCGCGTATCCACCTCTTCGGATTTTCCCTCCAGGGCTTCGAATCGTTGAGCGTTGGTGCTCACCATCTCTGTTCCTCGATCGGCTGCTCTGATACCAATTGGCAGGGACTGACTTTCCCGACCAAGCCAAACTACTTCTTCGGTGGACTCTTAATTTAATTATTTAAATAAAAATGTAATAGCATAGAGTATAATTAATTGAGAACGTAATTGAGATTAATTTGCTATGATTCACGCTGAGCAGAGGCTTGATTGATTGTACTGAATAATTCTGAAAACAGATTACAAAACATGACTTGAGGCCATGAATCTCTAAGTAGCTTTAGGCTACCACTCTCATGTGTTTCCTCACAATTTTCTGGATGTCCTTTCTCCTCTCACAACTTTCAATTAAGTACAACCTTTTACAACTGAATTTAGATAAAACAAAAGTAATGAAAATAAGAGCCTAAAGTCTTCTTGCTTAATTAGTGAAATAGCTGCTCCCCTTTGTTGCCTTGCTCAAAATGGACCCTTCCACAAAGTAGCCTTGTTCCTTGCACATTGTTGCTTAGTGCCTTGAGTTACTGCTGCCCTGTATGCTGCTACTGCTTTGCTGCTGCCCTGGAAGCTGCTGCCGACCTATGAGTTGTTGCTTTTGTGGCCTCGGACGGCGAGTGTACACCTGAATTTGTTGACCTGAGCTTGGGTCCATAACAGGGTTGTGAATGAGGCTGTTGAGAGTGACTTGGCAATAGCGTTGATATTTAGATGTTTGTCATGATTTCTCTTTGGGGTATTTTCTTATATGAGTATTAATCCAATAAAAGAAGGGTTATGATCCACTTCCATTTTTTGTCTTTGGTTTGTTCATATTGCCCTTTGGTTCTCTTTTTAATTTTTTATCCATTGTCTTGGTGAAACTTAGCTTGTTAACTAGGTAAGTAGGTACCAGCAAGTGACAATTTTATAAATTTATTATGCAAAAGAGAATGCAGTTATTAATTTTTAGCTGTTGCTTAACAAAGCAACTATCAAGTAGCAAAGCTATATAAGGGTTTTTTCATTGGGTGGTTAACATATTATAAAAAGATTCTTTTGCTTCTATCACCAATTATCAAAAGTTTGTGTTTCTAGACAACTATGTTACATGGACTCGGGAACGGGCGTCGGACACGGACACATGTCTAAGTGTCCGATCCAACACGTCTATACGTCACTTAAATTTATAAAAATAAATTATATATTACAAAAGTTTTAAATTTTTCATTACGTCCAACCCCCCCCCCCCCCCCCCCCCTTTTTTTATTTTATTTTTTTATTATTAATTCTTTCCTCGATAAATTCTCCTAATAAATGGCAATCTTCTTCTCTCCATCTTCTCTATATCAATGGTGGTCTTCAAACAAGATGTGTTTTTCTTTCATGTTTCTCTTCTTTTTTCTTCTCTACTCTTAATGGAAGTGTCCGAGTTAGTGAAGGTTCGGACACGTGTCAGATTAACATAGCTAGACAATATAGTTGCGATTTGAAGTGCGATTGAGGTATTCAGTACAAATGTGTTTGTTAGAAATGTTGCCGTATTAGGACATTTTTGTATACTAATATGCTCTGAATCCACTGGAAGACTGGTTAGACATTCAATTGCTATGTCTGCAGGCCTGCAGCCTTGATAATTTTTTATAAACTTTCTTTCGAGTCTTGTCACCTGTGATACTCAGGGACATCTAATGGGTGGTCCTTAAAACTTCTCTAATATTGGAAGCACCAAGGAATGGCTATGGGGTGCCTCTTAAGAATAGGGGATGAGAAATTTAAAGGGGGACAGTTTAAGGATGGTTGAGGAGGTTATACACTCATTTTCTTCCTTTTGAAATACATTTGTTTCTGACATGAGGGGGAGTTTTAAACCAAATTTGAGATGACTGCAGTTCAGAAATTTAATGTGACTCCATAGAAACAGCTTTACCGACAATTCATAAGAACAGCACTACTTCATTTGTTATACATATTGTCATATTTTGTTGGATAAAAACAGAAACTGATACTCGTAAGTCATTGATTATTGAAAGTAAAGTTTCATATTATCTGGCTGACTGATGACAGTGGTTCAATAAAATGGATCTAGAAAAGCTGCTTAAGTGGACACACCCTCAATAAAGATAAACTGATTCTGATTAAGCGAGCAGGTTTCTAATGAAGTTGCTGGGAAATGAGGATGAAATCAATCTCTTGGGCGATGGCACCGAGAAGGCTGAATTTGGAATGTGGGCATGGATGACACCCGAGGAAGTAGTGGAGCATGTAAGCTTTCCATTCTGCTAGACGAAGTTATTATACTTGTAGTATATGCTCCGTGGTATCATCTCATCTTACTTTATCTTATACGAGTACAAAGGTAACAAATTCTTTTTCTTACAATGCAGGCTGTGGACTTTAAAAAGTCTGTCTATGAAGAAGTCTTGAAAGCTTTTGCACCTCATCTTCAGTGACAATTCTCAAGTCGTCTTCATTCCTGCGGCTTCTTCTCATTAGATAACATCAATTTGTGACAATGTCAGCAACGTATTAATATGTTTTGTATACTTCTATGAAAGTTTTTATCAGCTTGTATTTTCGGACGATTTACCAAATTAAGCTTAATTCACAAACAATTTTGTAAAGTAGACGCGTGACAAAACTATTTACCAAATTAAGCTTTCAGGGTAAAACGCTGTTCGTTTTATACCCTGGTTTTTTAAGAAAAAAAAAATCAATTTGTAAAACACTGTCTGGGACAGCGTTTTACATGTTGACTTGTTTTTTTAAAAAAAAATTCGTAATTTCTGATTTAAAATTTTCTAAAAAATTGAATATGTAAAACGTTGTCCCAGACAGCGTTTTACATATTGACTTTTTTTTTTTTAAAACCAAATTTTTGATTTGAAAAAAATAAATAAGTTCTTGAAATGCTGCCTCAGACAATGTTTCACTAATTTATTTTTATTTATATTTTAAAAAAAAAAATAGATATTCCACGTTCTCCATTGAAGCATACTCCACGTTCTCCATTGAAGCAGCAACCATTACAACATTCTTCATTGAAGCATACTCCACGTTCTCCATTGAAGTAGCAACCCTTACAACATTCCAGGGTTTATCATTTTATTGACGGTAAGATCAATTATTGAAAGATGATCAATTTTGATTTTTCGAGCATAGTTTACTTTTGAATCGAATTTGCAGTCAATATTAAGGAGCTATGAAATTGGACCTTTTTCCCTAAAATTTGTGATTTTTTCGAGCCTAATTTTGGAGGAATCAAATTTGGTTGCTAATGCATTGCTGAACCCTATAATGATAGGAAGAAACTATGAAATTTGCTGAACCCTATAATGATAAGAAGGAAGGAACTATGGTTGCTGCTTCAATGGAGAACGTGGAGTCTCTGATTTGTTTTTTTAAAAAATAAAATAAAAATAAGTTACTGAAACGCTGTCTGAGGCAGCGTTTCACTAACTTATCTATTTATATTTTTAAATCAGAAATTTGGTTATTTTTTCTTTAAAAAAAAAAGTCAATATGTAAATCGCTATCCCAAACAGCATTTTACATATTCAATTTTTTTAGTTTAGAAAATAAATCAGATATTACGAAATTAAAAAAATAAAAGTCAACATGTAAAACGCTATCCCAGACAGCGTTTTACAAATTGTATTTTTTAGTGTGGTTAATAGTTTTGTCATGCGTCTACTTTACAAAATTATTTTGTAATTAAGCTTAGTTTAGTTAATTGTCCTGTATTTTCTCATTATTAAATGAAGTAATATGGATTATTCTTGAGGACTTAAAAGACTTGAATCACAGTGGAATTATTTTTATGATATTTTTTTTTTTTTTTTGGTAAGGATAATGATATATATAGCACTCAGAGCTGCATATAAGCATAAAATGTATTTCCTAAAATGGAATAAATTTGGAAATTCATTATTAAATCGCGTAAATAGATGTAATTAATATTTATCTATCATTAATAGAGTAGTTTTTGGATAGCCTCTTCAATGGTAAACTAATTGTCAAATTAGACAGTCATGTCACATAGGATTTTAAGTTAATCTTTATTGTAGCTAGTTTGTGTTCTAATGATTAGCTATTAACTTGCTATTTTTTGAACATGACTTTCTCAATTGGTTTTTTAAATTTAATTATTTTAATATATCAATCTCCTAAAATTTGAAAACTTTTTCTCAAGCAAATTAGCTTGCTGCTTGCCTGCTTGGCAAAACTAATTCTACTTTTTTTTTTTTTTTTTTTTTTTTTTTTTTTTTTTTTTTTTTTTTTTTTACCTTCATGGTCAAGCTAGTAGTATACATTTAAAATTTGCAAGCAAGTCACTAGCTACAATCATTATATTTTTTTATCATATTCTATTTTTAAAAAAAATTCAGATGATGACTATTTATGATGTTGGAAAATTTGTCAACAATTGTAAGCTGTCTATGGGTAGGTTGAAACGATCAAAATTTTGTAGTTAATGCTAAATTCTTGTCCCTAGTTAAAGTCTTCGGTGAAAAATGCTAAAATGAAAACTAATTCCTTATATGCATCGGTTAGTAGCTTTTTTCGGTCTAAAATCACTAATGGCAATAGAGGTTTTATCTAATATAGAACTGATATCACTAGTAGCAATTTTATTATAAACCACTAACACCAGCCACAAATTTATTAATTAATTTTCGAAATGAATGGGAACAAGCATGAAGTTAGGAATTGGAGATTTGATCGATCGTGGAAAATATAAATTAACTAGATAATACCCGAGCTGCGCTCGGATTTTTCAATTAATACAAATATAATTGGATTATTTTTATGCATATCATATCGAAAATAATTTTTGTATGTTGATTTGCTTAGTCGATCAATAATTGGAATTATCAATATGTAACAAACTTATATTTTTTTATTTGGTCTAATTGAATATAGGATTGTGTATGCTAATTAAAATTGAAATTTTCAATCTTATATTTTACCCTAATAAAGTCAAATTTTAGTTATGGATTGCTTTTAAATATTAATCTTTAAAACTAACTTGAAATTATTAAATTTTCAATGAAAAAATGACAGAAAAAAAAAATGCTTTTGGCGGGAAAATATTTTATGTGGTGTTGGCATGTGTAATCTAAGAATTTTTTCTAGGGATTACTTTAGTATAGTATATATATAAATAGACATTTAAAATGAATGGTACTATCGTCTATTGTTAGCCATTTTAAGCTTAGAAAATTAAAAATTAAAATTAAAATTAAAATTAAAATTATCCAACTGAACTTACATAGACCGCATATGACAGTATTTTCTAAACCAAGTACAAATGAATATAATTTTCTTTTTGGCATTACTCAGGGAAATAACTCAATTTTCCCACTATCTTTCTTTCTTTCTTTCCTTTTTTTTTTTTTTTTTTTTTTTTTTTTTTTTGTTTTTTGGTTTTTTTTTTTTTTAAATATAAAAACTCTTTAATAACTATATTCACTATTTGAAATTTTTATTCACCTTTAATGAACTAATACTCACTATACATAATGACCTATTTTTTCAATCCTAAAATTATTAGGTAACACCTATTAAACCTTGTATGAATTTATTTTTCTCGAATTTATCAACATTTAGGTAATGTTTTATTTACCTAAAATTCATTTTTTTTTTTAAATCCATTTACCTAAAATTCATTAATCTTATATAGTTATTATCTTATCTTATTAGTCTATAAGTTATTTGCCCGTGTATTATCCTATCTAAACTTAATAATTCTTATATATTATCTAATCTTATATTATCTTATTCGAAATTATCAAACCTTGTTAGACCTTATTTGGTGTTGTTTTGGGGTTTTTGGAGTCCCACGGGAGAGTTACAATTCCAAGAATGTGCGTCGACCGTCTATACCTGCAAAACCACGGAAAATCCGGTTGGGTGGAGTTCTGCCTCCGACGATCAAATTAGAACGTGTCCGGATGTATAAAAGTGCGGAATGTAAAGGTTTTTGTCTCAGATTCCGAGAGAAATCTGCAATTAATATTGCTCGGGTTTTGTGTGTATATTTATCAATGTATAATAAATGAGGATTTTCTCTATTTATAGCGTAAGGGGATTAGTTTCCCTTTCAGGGGTTGGAGTGCCACGTGTCACCATAGGGTTGGTTCTCTCAGAACCTCTTTGATGCTGACACGTGTCAGCACGCAATTGGTCCACGTGGACAGGGGGGGTATTTTTACCCTAAACATTTGCCCCTCATAGGTGTGACGTGGCTTTCCACGTGGCACCTGTGACAGGTGTCGTGATCTTAGAAGGTGAAGTTCCGTCTCCTTCTCTCTCCCGTTTTTTTTTTTTTTTTTTTTTTTTTGAATTTGGAAGGTGTCGGTTTGCCTTCTGGGGTTCTTCTCTATAAGTAGAGATCCCCCCCTCTCATTTTCAACACTTTGCCATTTTTGAGAAATTTTTGTAGAGAAAAGAGAGCTCTGATACCGGCTGCTATTTCTTGCTCAACCGTCTTCTTTTTCTTCACTCAACCGGATACCGTCTGAGTGCTCTTCATTCTAAACATATTAAAACCGCCTGAGGGTCTTTTGACACTCCTAGCTTTCAATACACCCACAACCGGTCAACCGTCTGGGGTATCTTCAAGCAAAACTTCAGAGAAACGTCTGGGTTTTTCAACAATTTTCAATTGCTCTTCAAGTGGGTACATCCGGGCAACCAAATAGGTATCTAGCAAGCAACAAAGAGATTTCCGGCTACTGATCCAGATAGTCAACCTCCCCCCTACTCAAAACATCTTCGAGGTACCGTCTCTACCCCTTGCAACTTTTTTGAGTTTTTCCGGCTGTACAACTTGTAAAGAATAATGGACTCACCCAACACACACACAGCACGACCTAGGATAGTTGTCAGCCGGTCATCGGATACGGCTGAGTCTAGGACTGGGGATGCCGCCTGGGGGTGTTTGGACCACCCTTACTCTTCCACGAATTCGATCATCTCTGTTCATGTGCAGGACAGAATGGCTCGGACGAGACGGACGACTGTAGACCCCGATTACCGATCAGACGGCTCAGCCGAAGCTCTGGCTGACCTTGTACATTTTGACAATCCGGGTATACCTAGCACACCCAGTGATGACATTTTAGAGGAGTCTGAGGATATAGGCGGTGAGGAGACCGTCCAACAGTCAAACTCTAAAGAGTCGTCCTTAGAACCGGATGCCCCCCAAGGGGATGAGGAGGCGTATAAATGGCCCTCCATCAATAATCCAACATAGGCTCACATGTCCGCCAGGGATGTTGTTACTCTGATTGCCACCTTCCCCGGATTTATAAAGAAGTGCCCGATTGGGGAAAGATGGGAGATTGTGGTACCGCCTGTGGAGGCAACCGTCGTCTGGGATGACAACCTTGATCATGCCGACGACTATTTCGGCTGCTATGAGGCTGCATTTAAAGCCGGCCTCTAGTTCCCCCTCCATAATGCAATAAAATCCATTTAAAGAGGCTACGACCTTGGCGTTTGGCAGTTAACACCCAATTCCTGGGTGAATATATTAGGATACATAGCCGCCTGCGAGATGCAGAACATCACGCCAAGCTGGGAGGCGTTTGCGCATATGCACTACCTCAGCCATGCCCCAGGCGGCTGGAATGTGTGATATACATTGACCACGCACCCGGAGTTCATGATAACGCTGGACAAGCCGTCAAAGTGGAGTAGTTGGAAGAGCAAGTTTTACTTGGTTTCTTCC